CCTTTTCCAAATTTTGTCATGAACTGAACCAAGACGGTCTCCTAGAATGTAAGTGCTCCAGATAATAAAATGCTGATCGAGCTTTCCAGTTGGACAACAAATTAATGCTTGGCTTTTACTACACTATAGTAGCTTGATGAAGGAAGATGGCATCGTAGCCACAGTGGGCACCTAGCTATGCACATGTACACATACAGTATAAGTGTTATATAAGTGTTGACAGACAAAAAACACACTGTGGATCATACCACTCTGCTGTGGTTAATCTGGTTATTAACACTATTATCAATCATCCTCTGTGAGCCAGTGACAGCATACCCACTGGGATTAAGAAGCTGATTGATTTTGTGTGAAACGTTTTAATGTGCAAAGAACTCATTCATAACAGACCATTATTCTCCATCTTCACTTACATGTAGATGATTCATACTCATTACCACGATTATATTAAATGTGAACATATTTCCTTCTTCTGGCACTGTACATCGACAAATGTATCTGTATCAGCAGATTGACACATCCACTTTACCACCACAGTACGTATTCCTAGCTTTCTGGCTCGGTGAATGTAGCCACAGCACTAAATCATCTCCATTTACAGACAGTATGTCTGATTGCGGACTGATGAATGTCTAAAGTCAGTGAGAGGACTCTGTAACCCTTTCCAGCTACAAATCAATAGCTCTTAATTTAACATTTAAAACCAGGGAACTGCAAACAGTGCCGTTACTTTTTCTTGCGACTGTATGTGTGTGTGTGGGAATTCAGGACAGGAAATGTAAATGTTGAGTTAGTTCCCTGAAAACAAAGGCACCTCCACATGAGTCCTTTCCTTTCATAGGCATCCAAGGCTCTGCTCACATCACTGTAATGCTTAAGAGGGAACATCCTGGAGCTGCCCCCCTCACTTTTCCCTTAGTCTTCTATAGATGACCTGATCAACAGTACATGGCATTCATGTAGAATAAAACCAGTTTCCAGAAAAAAAAAACTCAGTCTGGGTGCTTATTTCCTGAACCAGAGACAAATGACAAGCAATGCTGGCCATGGTCTGGTTTTCCTCAGCTGTGATCGCAAGAAAACCTTTGAGTCCCCACTGACTCACTGACCCCACGGACAAACCCTACACTGCTGTCTTACAATCTTATCTCTCTACAATCTCACCAATGTATCATCCTCTTGCCCCCCTTCTCCATCTCTCATTTCATGTGCTTACTCTGTTTTACTGCCCCAACTGACAATTGAGTCATAACTTCCTGGCGGCATTGTTCAAAGGTCACCCCACCTCCTCTCTCTCCTTCTCTCTGTGTTCACCGCCCCCTTTCCTCCTCTCCCTTTTGGGAGGCCCCTCGTCCAACACGCCCAGTACTGCATTCCACAGACAGTGGGAGCACCTTCAAATGCTACCCAAGCATAACAGGCCACCACTCGCAACGGCACGTAGGGTGACTGAGCCCCATCCTCAGCTGCCACCAGGCCTCATCACCAAGCTCAAGCCCTGCCAAGGAGAGCTTTGACTGGGGAGAAATTGCAATGTAGCAGCAACAGAGTCTGCGTGATGACAAGGGGAAAGCAACTGTGGCTCTCAAGAAGCAGAGTGATAACTGTCCAGCATTAGCCACCTCCAAGTTGCAGAAACTAGCTCCAAGTAAAGTCCTCGTGCCACAGTGGGTCCTCACATATCTGTGATGAAGGGCTGGCAGCTGCGACAGTGGGGCACATTTTCAGAGCACCTTTTTGTCTGACCCCCAAATCCTTAAGGTCTTTCCTTCACTGACATGCAACTCCAGTTTCAGCCTCCCAGTGCTGTAGCACCAAAACAAAAAAGGTATCAGAAATATCACAGCATACCTTAATTCCTTGTAAGGAACAGGAACCATTTAGGAAAAACATGCTCAGTCTCGTCTTGGTAAATACTTAATATAAAGCAGGCAAAATTCTTTGTACTTTCATCTGAATACTGTACACAATTTTATTAACACTATACTCTTTGGAAGGGATTTAACCCACTCTTTTCACTCAGCAGTTGCACAATAAAATGTTTTAAATATAAATTTGTCCTGTGAGTCATGCTTTAAAGGACTTTAATTTAAAGTAATCCAAAAATAATATTGCTGAATATACTGAATATAATGAATTTAGCAAAAATGTTTGTACTAATACTTACACATGAGCATGTCTTGTGCAATGGGAAAAGCATAGTCCAGAGCTCTATTAACAGGTGTATTTAGTATCAGACCTGTATCGAAGGTTCCAGCTCCCATAACCTATGTTGCTGTGTGTTTTCTGGAGTTCTGCTGAGTCGTCAGTCACAGCTGCTGCTTCCCACCTGAAGTGCAGAGAACAGACAGGTTTCCACAAAGTGAAAATAACAGGCACAGCGATCAAGACATATGAACTAAACCAAGAATACTAACTAAATATAACATGGCATATGTGTGATAAGCATAGAGATTCAGACAAGATGGCCATTAAGGACATCCACACAAGTGCCATAAGAGCAAGTGAGCAACATCCCACTCAAATAAAATTAAAAATAACACATGACTATACACTATGCGCACACATTTGGGACAGTGGTTATGTAAATAAGAGTATATTTTGTTTACAGGATGTTTGGAATAAAGCACTGTGTAACCACTGAAGCATGTATGACTAATATCTTGACAGTTATTCACAAATCTTTTGTGTTTACTGTAGGATAAGATGCATCATTACATTTTCAAGAGTCTACTACGTTTCACCATATGACCTATGCTGGTGAAATTACAGCACACCAATTGAAGGCATCTGGTTTAGGAAATTTGATGAACCTCCATATTACAGCAGTCATGTTTTCATGTGTGTCTGCGAACAGAGACAGGTATGTTTACCCTTCTGGTTCGGCTCCATTGTTAATCTCCAGTCGTGCCTGTGTGCTATGATTATCAATGCACACATCTGGATCTACTTAGTCAAGAAATCCCATAAAGAACCTAATGGGCTCTTCTAACATTTTTTGAGGACTGATTAAGAGCAGTTTCAGCTCTTGTTCACATCAATGAGTTCCATCTGTGATTTATTTAAGTTTTCACTGAATTCATTATCTACATTACTTGCCCTCTGTTTATGTAATGGGGGTTTGGGAGATTTAAGGGAGACTTGCATGCTTCTCAGGTAATGCTCAAGACTGCTGAATTTTCTAATGGGGCCGATCTAATACTCTGATAAACATGGAGGGATGCTCAATCACTGATAACTTAACTTTATACATGGAAACTAGGTGTTCTGACCCATCTTCCTTAGCATGCATGGAAATGCTTAAAATTTTCACATAAATCTGGTTTTCCAAATAATTTATTCTTAAAGCATGTTTGCAGACCTTTGTCATTTAAATGTAACTTGGTTTTAGTCTTGCCAGTCATTGCATAAGGAACAAAGTTTTGCAGTTATGAAAGTAATGAAATGATAATGGTAATTACTTTTATTGGCCAAGTATGTTACACACACAAGGAATTTGTCTCTGGTACAGAACTGAAGCAGCCATCTGCAGTGCCAATTCACACACCGATGGAAGAGCTAGCCCTGCAAGGCCCTGACCTGGCCATCGGGGGCAACTTGTGGTTCAGTGTCTTGCTCAAGGACACTTCGACATGTCGACTGGGGAGAACAGAAATCGAACAGACAACCGCTCCTGAGTGATTATTATTGTTCAGTTACACTTAACATATTGCTGGTGAAGCCGTAAACAGGCCTACTTGCCTGTAACTTTAAATTAAGTTTTATGAAGGACACTGACACCATGAACTACATTTGTTACAAATTAGGCTTCTGGGTGCTGTAAAGTTGACAACTGCCACTTCAAACCTTTGTCTGGAAAATAGTAGAAGGTCTTTGTTAGACCGTTAGTTAAGTCAGCCATTCTCAACCAGTGGGCCTCAGCATGCCACCAAGTGGGCCACAAAGGGTTCGATTCAAATTATTACCTTTTTTCTCATTCAAAAAGCCAGGCATTTACTAAATGTGCTTGAGCAATTAAAATGCATAATTTCAATGACCAATTATGTTTGAATATCACAGCACCACTCACAACACATCATCAGGAAGTGATAAATGTGTTTTATGACTGTTAACTAACTAGCCACCTATGTTTTTCCTTGGATGCAGTGACACAAAATGGTTTGGTTTTTGAAATGAAAAAGTGATGTTGGAGACAACCCTGCACCAATAAAAGCTCCAAAGCTTGTGGTGAGAATTATTACCCTGAATACAATAAATACATACACTGAACACATTATTTTAATTAATTCATTTCATTTATTTGATAAAGTGGTCCTTTGACATTCTGTAACAATCAAAAGTGAGCCGTAAAGTTACAACAGGTTGAAAACGCTTGATTTAGGTCAGTGTTATCATGTTCACCTTGTCAAACTGTTGACAGGTAAGGTAAGATACAGGTAAGGAAATTATAAAATAACTGTTGTGATTTGTTCACAAATTTTTATTGTAACTTAAATCCGACTTAACATAAGTTACATATGAAAAGCACTTACCGTGTAAATCAATCTCATTTTCACCACAAAAGGGTTGTCAAACTCTCATTTAAGCACAAGATGTCGCCATAATCAGTGATGTCTTTATGTGCTTCGTGTAAGGTCGTATTTGTAAACTATACAAATGTGATTTATTTATTCGTTTAATGAATCGACTGTAATTTGTTAACATCTGTGGATCATATATATGATAAAAATGTTTTTTTATTCTGCCATGTAATGTATAACGACATTTCCCTTGAATTATTTTTTCGGCAACAAGCTTCCATAAACGATCGGACCTTCGAAAAAATGATAAATGACGTTCATAATGCCATTTACCGTTGTTTCTGTGAGACACTGTAGCTATTAATACTCTAGCTACAATATTTTTATGGATGCATTATGAGAGTTCCCATTACATCGATGCATATTTCACACATCAGTTCCAACAGCAAAAGTCAAAATTTCCAACAGTACTTGAAGGGACAACGAACCCGGATATGACCTCATAACTACCGGAACCAAACTTTAGCTATTAGCTGTAATTGTAGCAAAACAGCTAAATCATCATCCAAAATAAAGGCTGTTGGAAATACCTTGGCTTGTGTATCACCGTTTCGACGTGATATGAAGCTGTAGGCAGAATTTACAAACAGGTGACAGTCTCAGATGGGTGCCTGGAAATCATTTCGTAGCACTGCTGTTTAGTCGAATTGTTTTCCGTGGAAGCTAACTTAACTAGCTAGCAGTAACAACAGTAGTTTTTAAAATTAACATCACCAATTAAAGATTAAACGCTGATTTGTTCTTAACAAGATATGATACATTCATTACTACAGTGTAATACTTGATTTAGACGAATGCAGCGGCTTGTAGCTGACAAACGGAGTCGGTGAAATATATTGCTAAATGAAATATAAAGTGGAGCAGGAAGATGGTAAACAGTTTAGAGTCGCATACTTATAACTTAATACTTCTCATCCGGGTTTGTAAAGATACCTGATCCCCAACACTAACTTGTAAGGAAAACTAAGTAACCAACTAATATTTGGCATGACAGGGTAACTTTGACTACTGATGTCTTCCGTTTCAGCGTTGAGGAATGGTCTGACTGCAGCAGCACCAATAAAGATGCACAGCCGTCTGCAGGAGTTGAAGAAGGAAGAGGAGACTCTTCTCAAAATCAAAGTCATGCTACAAGATCAGCTGAACAGGTTGAAGGTGAATGAGAGCTAGAATATGAATGCTTTAGTTCTTGTGTACATATTTGTGTTGCCTGTGTCTTTTAAATATTATTTGTTCGCCGTTTGTTTCAGTTTGAAGAAGGTGCCTTGAAATCTATCATTAATGCTCAGGCAGAAGAAGGGGCCTCTCAGCGATTATCCCCAGAAACTGAGGTAAACTGCTGTAACTGAGACATCAGGGGGCTATTCTTCTAAATGCTCAGAGGTCTCAATTTGTCATATTCAGATATTCTCAGTAATAACTTTGGTTATGTTTTTTAAATTAATTCACAATTAAGTTGGTTTATTGAAACTGTTCATTTTCAAACACAAGCAGATGCTTGTACTACTGCTACTACACTATTCTGTGTTGTCTTGCTGGGGATGTTAAAGTTTGCCAGTCCAGAAACCCTCAGCGATAATATTTACATCCACTAATAATTTCCTGTTAGGACAGGAAATTGGTTAACCCGTTGAGCTGTGTTGCTCCAGTAAAAATGTTGAGTAAGGTTATTTGTTAGTCCCCTTAACTTGTGGGGCATAATCAGAAATGTCACAGTGTAGGTAAAGGCACTGACTGAAATATTTTAGGGTTGCTTTTGTTTTCATTGCTTCCTTTTACTTGAAAACATACACAGCAGTCTTAAGAAACTTGTTTGTGTGATTCAGCAATTTAGTAAACATATTTTGAGAATGTTATTAATGCTTTTAATGGTCTTGTCTAGACAACTGTAGCATTTTTTTCTTCTCAATCAGAATGTCTCCTCCTGCTGCCACAACACTAGTTTTTCTTTTAAGAGATATGATCACAATTGCATGTCAAACCTGTCTGCTAACAGTTTTAGACTTAAATTGCTACAAGTTATATGTAAGGCGCAAGCAGGTATGCCCATGAAAATGTAAACATAGAAGTAACAACTACAGTTGCTTATTTAAAAATAAAAAACATGGCTTTATTACTAACATTTGTTAGATTTAAAAAAATATATATTTTTTTCATTGTTTCAGGTTCATATTAAGCTTGATGATGAAAGCAAGATCAATCAAACAAAACTGCTACTGAATGCTGCTGTAGACTATAATATGGAGGAGGAGGACGAGGATGAAGATGAAGAGGATGATGAGGAAGATGACAATGAGCTTGAGTTTGTGCCTGAAGAGGAAGAGGAGGAAGATGATTACTAAGTGTTTCATGGGGCTTCAAACGTTTCCCCACTGAAGAAAAACTGTGTTATGAGACAGCTGTGTATTTGTTCACCTGTTTTGTACTTATAATGTTTAATTTATTTGAGTGGATTAAGTAACAGTTACAGTGTAATGATGTGTGGTGCTAACAGTATCCTCTCTGCCTCATTTAAGGCACACCGTCAGGATTTCAAACCATATTACAAAGGTTTTGTGAGAAATGTCTCACTGAAATGCAGTACGTCAATGTTTTAAGGTGCTTATAGCTTACTAGACATTAAGCAGCAGTTCATTTGAGAATTAAATGTTGAGATGTTTCTGTTAGCATGAAAATGTGTGGCTGGACCATATAAGAAAATGGTGTGTATGCATTATGTAAGGAATTGTAATTGTAAGCACAAAATAAAATGTTTTGCATAGGGTTAATTTGGCTGATTTTTATAAGGTACACTTATAGTTTAATGCCAACAAGCTTCCCAGCATACAGTAATGTTTCTCAGATGTAATGAGTGCTCACAGACGAAAAAGGGGACAGCTGTTACTTTCAGTTCCAGTCAAGGTAATACCAACCTCACCCAGGAGAATGGGTAATGCAGTGCAAACACGTTCCACTAGCAAACCATTCAGCGTTTTCCAAACAGTTAAGACAATAGAGCGTCCATCACAATAAAGCCAGCTTTCACACTGACAGCAGGGACAGCTCTGGAGAAGGGTGGTGCAAAAACAGGCAACATACAATAGAGCCTGCACCAACAGATATACTGTATACAGCTTTCCATCGTCTTCTGTCCATGTGAGCTCCCATTCACCCACGGACCCACGGCTCAGCATACACATCTGCTGCTAATGAATTATTCATGAGGTACACAGGTAACTATATATATTATTCAATGCATTTGCTATCGTAAACCTAAGTTTATGGAGTGATGTTATGGATTTTGCATTAGTGATATTAAAATACATATTTGTGGAGGAATATTGAAACAAAAAAGCTAGGGAAACATGACCAGGAATGTGTATTAGAATTCATAACTGCTGGCACATTAGGTTTCCTAGGTTATGTGACTAAGGCTTTATCATATTTCTGAGAAAATTCCTGAAGTTATCATGCAGTGACTTCAGTCTTGATAAATCCAGTTTCACATCCATTTCAGGTTTAATAGACTGTAAGACTAAAATCCTGATGACCTGAATTAGAAATTATTTACAGAGAATTCTATGTACTTCCTGACCTAAATTTGGGCATTAACACTGAGAATGCAGCAAATAGCATTAATTTCTTTATAATCCTCAAACAACGAGGTTATGAAACATTTCCATCCACATTTAGTCTTTTTGTGGAAAGGTTATTCAACTGTAATGTGAATGTGCACTGTAAATATATCAGTCTCTCTAACATAAACTGTGCTTACAAAGGTGAAACAATAGGATGTATGGGATCTGTCTGCCTCAGCAAGATGAGCTTACACTCCGCTGAGATTGAGTAGGGGTATTTGGCTCTGTTTTTTTAAGGTTCACGAATTTTATTGTCAATTCACCATATGTGCAGGACATACAGAAACAATAACAGGAGATTGCCAGATGGTTCAGCATGTATTTAAATTTACATTTAAATGTTTTAGGCCTATAAATGTTGTGCATCACATTGGATGCTTCCAGACTGATTCTTGTAGTTTTATTCTGACTTCTTCTGCTACTAATCTAGACAATTTTCAGAAAAGAAGTTTCTAAGCATCTGTGTATGTCTCTTAGACACAACTAAGTTTGCTCCAAATCAAATGTGGTACTGTAAATAAGTGTTGCTGCTGAGCAGTTTTTGTCTGTGCGCTGACGTCAGTGAGGGACTGCAGCAGAACCAGACTGTTCTGCAGGCCCAGGAGTACCATGCTGCCCCACTGGGCGCTCAGCGTGTGCCATGTGTTTATGTGGGTGCTGTGTCTGTCTGCGACTGAGGACTTTGACTCGACAAAGAACGACCACAGTTCCTTCTATTATGGCACTTTTCCAACTGGTAGGCACAACTTGTTCTTCTCTTAGGAAAGAAGCAGTACATTTTAATTATTTAGTTTGTGCTAGTCCTCTTAAGAGCTCGTCATCAACTCAAAGTTGGTGTTGTATTTAATAGGATTTTCATGGGGTGCAGGCAGTTCAGCCTATCAAACAGAAGGAGCCTGGGACCAAGATGGAAAAGGACTGAGTATCTGGGATGTGTTCAGTCATAAGAAAGGCGAAATCCAGCAAAATGATACAGGGGATTCCTCCTGTGAGGGCTACTTCAAAGTCAAGGTGGGGTGATCATTTGTGGAGCAAGAGATATGAAGAGAACAAAGAGGGACAAAAGCAAATCAAAATATTTCCCTCTGCTGTGTGTTGCACAGGATGATGTTTCTTTGATGAAGGAGCTGAAGCTTAACCATTATCGCTTCTCCATATCCTGGCCTAGAGTCATCCCGACTGGCATAAAGTGTGAGCAACTGCTATTTCCTGAAGCCATTTTGAAACTCATTGGCCCTCACATACAGCATTTGTTAATTGTTAAATCTAAAGATGTATTTAAACTTTACCATTTGCAGCTGACCATATAAATGAAAAAGGAATACAGTACTATGATGAACTGATTAACCATTTGGTGGAGAACAAGATCACTCCCATTGTCACTCTGTATCACTGGGATCTTCCACAGGTCGGTGTGCAAAATGCTGATGATTCCCCAACTTAAACCTCACTGTATTTACATTAGTCATCCTAACTGTGCTATTTAACTCTCTTCATATAGGTCTTACAAGAAAAATATGGTGGATGGCAGAATATAAGCATGGTCAACCATTTCAATGAATTTGCCAGCCTGTGCTTTGAAAGGTTTGGCAACCGAGTTAAGCACTGGATCACTTTCAGCAATCCATGGGTAGGTTAAAAATAAACACTCGCTTTGTGACATTACATAGCCTATGATTTTACATTTTGATCATAGAACTTACTTAGGTACACAAGTATTTACCAGTTACTGAATGGGTCCTCATTGCACCAATACTTTTCTCAACCAGTCTGTAGCAGTTGAAGGCTATGAGACAGGTGAGCATGCTCCTGGACTGAGACTGAGAGGAACAGGGGCATACAGAGTTGCCCATCACATAATCAAGGTATGAGAATGCAGATATGTTCAATTAAAGTATCAAAAACACTTGACAACTCATGGCAATGCTGAACTAAAATGTAAACATATTCCTCATAGGCACATGCTAAAGTTTGGCACACTTATGATACACAGTGGAGGGGAAAACAAGAAGGTAAAAAAATAGAAAGTAATACACTGACTTAAAATTTTCGTCTCAATAGTAGCTACTGTCTGTGTGAGTGTTGAGAGCTGCTGTTCACATCTGCAGGTCTGGTTGGCATCTCTCTCTCTGGGGACTGGGGTGAGCCAGTGGATATCAGCAACCAAAAAGACATTGAGGCAGCTGAGAGATATGTCCAGTTCTACCTGGGCTGGTTTGCCACACCAATCTTTCATGGAGACTACCCTCAAGTGATGAAAGACTTCATTGGTAAGTCCATCTGTAAACACTTAATCCTGAAGTAATGTTAGTCACTGTGGCATTAACTATCACTACGTGTCTGTTCGTTCAGGGAGGAAGAGTGCTCAGCAGGGCCTCTGGACGTCTCGCCTGCCCACGTTTTCCCCCGAGGAGAAGAGCTACATCAGGGGGACCTGTGACTTCCTTGGGATCGGTCATTTCACCACTCGCTACATTACCCAAAAAAACAACCCATTAGGCCGCAGTAGCTACTTCACTGACCGTGACATGGCTGAGCTGGTTGACCCAGAGTGGCCTGACCCTGGATCAGAGTGGCTCTACTCTGTGCCCTGGGGTTTCAGACGTCTGCTCAATTTTGTAAAGGTGACTCCTGTAAATAGTGTACAGCAGGGTTGTTGACATTTGTGCTGTACCTGAAATGGTCTAGTTAAATTAGATTAAAGTAACTTGCTGTACTTCATTCTGATTTGTTCCCTGTTCAGACTCAATATGGAAACCCAATGATTTATGTGACTGAGAATGGAGTCTCTGAGAAGATGTTATGCACAGAACTGTGTGATGAATGGAGGATACAGTATTATAAAGACTATATCAACGAGATGCTAAAAGGTAAATGAGCTCATCCATACAGTATTGTACAACAAAGTTAAAAGAAAGTGTATTCCTTTTGTTGGGTAATTATGACAGTTAATCTAAAGTCTAATTCAACTTTTGTGATAATTTCACTGTTCTCTATGGTGTCATTCAGCTATCAAAGATGGAGTAAATGTGAAAGGATTTACTGCATGGTCCCTGCTGGACAAGTTTGAGTGGGGCGAAGGTTACTCTGAGAGGTTTGGCTTGTATTATGTGGACTTCAGGAATAAAAATAAGCCTCGCTATCCCAAAGCTTCTGTTCAGTTTTACAAACGCATCATCAGCTTCAACGGTTTTCCTAATCAAAGAGAGGTGAGGGAAACAGGATCGACACTTCTAAAACCTATTTCAAATCTACTAGTTAAGACACTAGATACTTCATCTGGAGGCTTTCGATTCATAATTTCTTCTGAAATTAATTGATATATAATTGAACCTTCACAACCTCTTCACAGGTTGAGAACTGGAGGAGGAAGGCTTTTGAGACCTGTTCTTCTAGCAACCAGCTCCTAGCCGCAGGTTAGTTCAGCTATTACATCTCTGATCTTGTTTGTCAAGGATCAGAGCTGAATAACTAGCTGGGGTAAACAAACAAAGAATCTGCACTAAATATAAAAAAAAACCTTTAATACAGAAAATCTATAATTAGAATTTAACTTGAATATGTGTTGCTGTTGTAAGTGCCTCAGAAAACACATGAAAAAAAGGTCAGTTAAATACAAATGCTGGAAATATAAAACACAATTAATAAAATATCCTACAGATTACTTTCTTCTTTGTTTGTGCCTCCAGCTAGAAGAAAATCCAAGGAACATGCAGAAATGCCAAAGGTTTGGCTGGTGCATGACGAAGTTTAGGACTTTTTGGTATACGTCATCTAATGTTATTTCATTTTCAAGTTGCTTTGTGATTGTGTGGTCTTAAGTCAGATTGACAGAGTCACGCTTCTGCAGTTAAACTGCACCGTGTATACACTATGAGACCATTTCTTGAACTATCTAAAGTTTTATTAATATGCTTAAAACTAATTTGCAACCAAGAGCACTTCTGCCCATGAAGTATTTCACAAAGCACAATTGTACATTTAGCCAGATAACATAATGCAGGTGAAACAGTCTGCGATACAGTATATCTGAACAAAACTTCACCATGAGGTTTAGCAACACAATTCAGCTGTGATTGTTGTCTAATAATAATTGACGCTTCCAGACAAGTATATTTTTAAAGTTAAAGTTGCAAACGATTCTTTCTGAGATATTTCCCAGTAGCTGCCTGCAGTTCTCAAAGGGTTAAAGTGCCGTTCATCAACTCTGAGTTATTTCTCTTTGTTTTTATTAGAGGAACAGCGGAGAACTATTGCCAATGTTCTAAGACTTATACATGGTAAGGAAATCCCTCATGCTAACTCTAAAATAAGCAAAAGAGGATTTGATTTACACAAAAATATTAACCCTTTGAGCGCTGTGCTTGAGCATCATTACTCGCTTCATATGCGGTGTCTGAACTACAGTATATAATAATAATACCAGTGAATTGTTAATGTGTGTGCTTTGCAGACCCTTTGACCAGCCACATGGAGATGGTAACTGAGATCGTTGTTCCCACCGTGTGCACCCTCTGTATTCTGCTCAGTGCCATCTTCCTTATGTTCCTGCTGCACAGGCGGAACTAGAAAGTGTGCATGTTTACAATCACAAACATCAATACATTGAATACACAAGGTCATAAACACTAACACTGTAAGTGTATTATTTCTTTAATAGATTGTGTGAGCAAAAATGCATTATTTGAACTTAATTTTGAGAATTACTAATTTAATTAATTTGATGTGCATAATAATAATGATGTAATTATGATAATGAATTTAGACTCAACTGTATGGACAGCCCTTTTTAAAATACTATTGTGGAATAAAACCATTGCAAACAGCCCTTATAATCTATTGTACTTTGTTTCTGTTGGGTTTAAACTGGGAGTTGTTCTGCAAAAAAGTCTCTTCAAAATCTTTTTTAACAAAAATAAAGTATACTAACAAAAAACTACAAGGTGCTCACCATGGGGTTTGTGATGTGGTATGCTTGAAGTCCATAAGGCTAATTCTGATATTCCAAAACATGTTAATTGCTAATGAGAGTTTGAAATATAAAAACGAACACCTGCCTTGTCGTTCAGTACTGCTCTATGTAAATTCATACAAAGCTGACAAGACTGCAGGACACCATGGTGGAGAAGAAGGCTGGATCTTCACTGTCCCCATTCACGGTTTCTTCTGGGTAGTCTTAAAAAAAAACCAAGTTATCTATAATTTATCGGGGTACATACTTACAAATATATGTCATGAATATTTGGCGCAGTTCATAAAGATCACCTGTTTCAAAGATGACATGTTGAACCAGCGGTCTGTCACTGAGCTGTAAGGAAGTCCTGACCTCACGAGGACTGTGGCCACTGGATACCTCAACCCCCCACACGACTGGGTGCTCTCTGTGGAACATACACATTACAAACATTAGGGACTAGACAACAGCCTATGTTAAAACTTTACATTTGACTATAAAATTCTAATTAGGTGATCTGATCACAAGAACGCATCTCTAAATAATGTGTGGAAAAAAAGGGTTCAGCCCATTTGAATCATGAATGTTGTATTGGGAGGGAGGCGTGGCCACATTAGAAAAGCAGATGCACTCAGGTAGGTTTTAAAATAACATACCCGAGGCAAGGTACAAAATGGCCCACCCGCTCATCTGCATTTTCCTGAATAACAGTGCTTATAATTTCTCAAATAAAACCAAAATTTCACTAGGGAGGCACACAATCACACAAGCCCTACCTTCTGTTTCAATTTTTGACACATTTGTAGGTTAAACAAATGACTAGTTTGTGCTAGAACAGGAATAAGAAGACAAATATCCTAATTTCATTTCCTAAAATCTTTGGGAATAATGAGGTAGTAGAGAGCTGTGTTCCTTACTTCTGGTAGAAATGGCTGATCAGGGCTGGTTTGATTTGGAGTTTAAATTCATGTTCCTCATCATACGGATACGTTATGTAGTGCTGCAAACATGACCTATGAAAAAAAAAAGAAAAAAGATTTAATTGTTTAGTTTGATGTTATCACAGAAATAAACCATTTGCACACTCATACATCACAGGAAAAAGCCAGCTTTATTTACTGTGTGAGAAGAAACAGTCGGTCGTAGGGCAAACCCAGGAATGCACTGCAGGTCGTAATTATTTCAAGCAGATGGTGCAATTTTCTGAGTCGGACCACTTGTTCCTGCAGATCAACATCTGTGCTCAGGTAGTAACGCTGTAGAGTAACATACGCAAACTCAGAATATTTTGCTAACAGTCATCTGAATGTAGTTGTTAGCCACATAAGTTTTAAGCTTACCAAATGGTTTAGAGTTGTCAGTTCTTCACCTGGAAAAAAATAATTATAATAATAATAAAAGAGAAACTGTATGAAACATAAATAGTCCAAGGCTAGGTTTGTACATAATGGTTCTTGTGAGGTCAGACGTTACAAAAACACAAACATAATCATGTCTAAATGACAGAGTTATACACAGTGATTCAAAGCAATAGTTAAAAAGTTACCAATGAGATAGTTGATGTAATCCTTTCTCATCTTGTCCAGCCCCATCTCTAGCAGCATATGGACAGGGGTGACACCTGTGAGAGACACATGATCTATCTGCTGGTGGTAGGACTGCAGGATGAGCTTGCTGAGGGAGCTGTTGCTGTCTCTGTGAATCTGGGGGGATGTGACATCAAACAAAACAAACAAACTTAATATGCAACAACCTCCAGTCATTTCTCAGCAATAAACATTTAGAAGCTGCATCATTCCATACCCAGGGCTTGATGTCCCCGTATTTCAGAGCTTCAGTGACCAATTTCAGACAGTCACTAATGTCCTTATATGAAGTCACACCTTTAAGGAAAAATGTATGAAAATGTTTGTCACTGCTCGATTATAATATTACACCAAATGAAACTTGACAAAGAATAGGACGTACTCTTTCTCATGCGAACCCACAACTGTTCCACAAAGTCCAGATCTCCCCGTTCCAAGAGAGAGTTGAAAATGGGAGTGTCCGTCTCAGACTTTAGCTTTGTAGCCTTTAGGAAAAGATGTAGAGACAAAATGGAGAAGATAGGAAACTGCTACATGTATTCTGAAATAAATGCATTTTTGAAAGGTGTCTTGCTTTTAACACTACCTCTGCTGTTTTTGCAGCCTGGTCCTGTGGTGTCTTTGCAGTGTTCTGAAGCTCTGAAAGCAAAAGGAAAATAATACTTTAGGTAAACTGTATTAAACCATACAGTAGCAAAGGTGCATTTATTAAACAGAACAGATACCTTCTAGGTAGGCCTTGGTCAGATTTACAGCTGATGTGCTTTCCAAAGGTTCCATCCATTCTGTCTCACCAGTTCTCAAACCATCAGCAAGAGTCTGAAATAACAGGGATCTGACATATTTACTTGTTTATTTGTGTACTAATAATCATGGTCATTCACTGTAGGTCACAAACCTGAAGAAACTCTAGCTCCCTGTACATCTCGAACATCGGGCTTCTCATGTCTCCACTGGCGACTTTAATATTCTGTATGTGAACAAAGATAAACAAGAATTTCAATTTAGTGCAAAATTAGAGCTTCTGTTACTCAGTCACTCCACTGTGATTTAAACATTAAAAATGACTCAAATTAAGACATTATTAAAATTCACTTTATAAACATATAAAAAGTAAATAGTTAGAATACGCTAAGTGTGAGTGACGGCTGCTTACCAGTGTAGCTGTAGAAGACAGGGGTGGGGTTTCGAGGATACTCTCCACGTGGCACCATTTGAAATCCACTGTCACACTACTCTGTGACTCAATTATGGTGTTTTCAACCACAGTAGAGCCAAACAAGTTGAACCTGGCACTGCCTTTAATGGCCATCTGGAAACACTGACAGATGTAAGTGTACAAACATTCATTCACACTGGCTGACAAAATCAGATGACCACTCACTTACCGAGGACGGGTGATGCCTTTTCTTGTGTTCCTGTTTAAGCTCATCTAAGGTTATGAAAGAGCTTTTGTCCACAGTTGAGCCTAGCAACATTCAAGATGAAATTCAACAAATGTCAAAAACCTCAAAGTCACATGAGTTATAAATAAACAAATATTGTGTGGGGTGTGAGGCATGTGAGCTCTACCTTTGCAGGTAACGGAGTATAATTTAACCCCTGATATTTTATTGCCCACACAGACTGTTTCAGCCCCAAACCAGGCTGTTCCAGCAGGATCAGACATGTCACATCGCACCCACAAAGGGTGTAAGTATGTGCTGTGGTCCACAGCTGACACATTATCATTTTGAGATAATGTGTACCAAGACAGCAACTGCCTATAAAAAGAGAAGGAAAATATTACATTTGCACTGTCAGCTACAGTGTGTTAAGACACACGTTTTACTATCCTACTTGGACTTCCTTCATTTGAATGAAATGTTAAACGTCTTAGTACTGGTCACCTTGCTTTCATGACTGTGAATGGCTGTGGTCCCAGTTCTGTCTGGAGTATGCTGACATTGGCATTCGCATTATCTTCATCATCAGTACAGTTTGATGTCTCGGTCATTTGTTGAGCATCGGGTTCACTTATTTTTGGAACCTTGAGAAATAAAGACAAAACATGGTCCAATAGTGAGCAGTAGTGATGGGGTTTAATGGGTTGTATGAAGACAAAAACATCCACAGAAATCTTTCTATCAGAATTATAGCTTTACATTTACAATGGTGATTGTGGAAATTCAGGGCTAGAGAAGTATGATGATTCTTATTTAAGCTATTAAACTGTATGTGCACACACATCTATCCATTATCTATACCTCTTATCCTGAAGAGGGTCCCCACAAAGACATTTTCGTCCTAAATCCTAAGGAACTGGTAATGTATCAGAACAGCCATGTGCCAAGAAATCACAGGCTACTAAAACACAAAGCCATATTCAATTGTTCATTTGCTTATTCATATTACACAGCAATGCATGTGTAGTACCCCCTGAATATGTTTAATGAGATGTAGCATTAATATTACTCACTGTTTTTTCACAGATGAAGACTGGCTGGTTGCCACAGTACATATTCACCACAGCAATTCTGCTGCCATTCATCTTTAATATATGGATGTCCTCCTGAAACCCAACAGAAAATATTAAGTTACTGTATCAACATTAAGGCTGCAACTAATGAATGCTTTCATTATCAGTTAATCTACTGATTATTTTTAATTAATTTAGTCGACAAAACATCAGAAAACAGTGAAAATGCCCAATGCAGCTTCCTGGAGCACAGTGTAACGTTATTTGACGTCTTGTTTTGTTCAACTAATTGTGCAAAACCCAAAAATGTTTGATTTACTGGAATTAGAATAACCAATCACCATCAGTTTGCATTTATCTTTAACAATGATGGCGATTTGCAGCTCTAATGTTAATCAAGATGATTACCATTACTATAAAATCAAACGACACATCAAAATTAGCCGCTTCTAACTTACTTTAGGCTAAATTAAAAAAAATACCTCATATGTAACGTTACATGGATCGTTGCTTTCCACGTCTTGAAGAGAGCTGAGGCACACAACAGAAATGAACTTTATTTCAGCATGTTAAGTATTTCGTGATTAATAAAGCAATAAGAAACCTAACAAATCATCTTTCCCGTATCAGCTTTCTACCATTAACTTGACGTTAAAGTTAGCTATGACTAAGTTAGTATGGTTATAACCTTAACGCCACGTCCAAAACTCACCGAAGAATATTAAAGAACTCCGTAACTTTAGATAAAATCGTTGAGCCCATCGCAAAATTATACAACTAATCTCCTGTTACATAAAAAATTGTGAACAAAAAGTGTGAACAAAAACACACAAAATTAGTTAACAGCATGTAGCAAACGAATCTTGTTCTTCTTCTTCCTCTTCTTCTCGGAGTTGTATGGCAAAATGGTGACTGATCAAACTTTGTTGATATTTTGAGAGTCGCGCGCTTACTCAGACGTAGACATGAGGTCACAGTTCTTCTTCCTCCTCTTTCTATGGCGGTTGACAAACCACGCAAAGACGCATTACCGCCACCAACTGGAAGAAAAAGAGAACAGTTGATCACTTCATCATAAATAATGATATATATGAAAAAATATACATGTAGTCGTAAAGTGTAATAATTTAATTTCACCACCAACATTAAAATATATGTAATTTTTCAATATATATTTTTAATAAATTATATATTTCTAAGAAAGTAGGTCAGTTTTTCTGTATATCTTTCGCTAACATGGAGTAAAGAAATAGTCCCAGCTAAAGCAGCCAAGTTTAAACCAACTTTTTAGACTTCAGAGATTGTCCAAAACTACAAGTCTAATCACTTTTACATTCATGTAAGTTATATCATGCGGCTGTATTTTATGTTAAGCTTAATAATTGTCGAAATAATGCTCTTGGCGGAAGTGGTTTGTCCTTGGCGGATGCATATAGCATTTAGGTTGCTTCACCAACTTCCTTTTCACTGTGGCCGCCATAGCGTGTGGAGCGTCGTTTTTGGCGAGCCGGGAAATAATCACCGAAAATGGTAAGAAATTATGCTTATGTCGTTGTTAATTTGCTATACAGTATGTATGATATATCTTGTCTTTTTTACCTAATAATGAACCTAGCGTTATCTGTGTTTGGGAAGTCTAAATCTGTATTTAATAGTAAAGGCAGTTGGTAAGCTCGCAGCTAGCATAGCTCACACGAGGAGCCATTTTGGACAAGCAGCTTCATTAGTTCAACTCGGTTAACGTTACACGTGTGCTTGGCGCTTCAGTGGTAGATAAGGAGCAAGGAGCTAGCATGTGTGTCGTATTTTGGTTACGTTTGGGCTTTACCCTGTAACGTTATAGATACCAGTTTTGAATTAAATGCAATTTTCTTAGTAAGATTATCGCTGTTTACAGTGATTAAGGTAACGTCGAGACTTGCTTGCTAAGTCATTTTAGCAGACTCGAGCTAAGTCCAACAACCGCAGACTTCTCAATGAATTGGTCCAAATACATAATGTTAACGAGGTGGTGTAGAAACTTTGAATATGTCTATCCAATGTGAGGTACACATTATTTGACATAGCGTTGCCGGTTGCACCTGGTCTCGTCACATTGATCTAAAGTTAGCATTTGTCTACCCCCACATGCTAGGGGCTGTGCCTTGTTCACAAGACACATCATCACAAAGAATTTTTTTCTTCTCAATGAGCCACTGCATCTTATAGAGCATACACCAAGATACACGGTGTTGGATTTGAGAAGGCATCTGTCTAAAGTTCAGTGTTTTTCATCATTTTGCCTCCTAGACCTGTGCCCGACCCCTGATCTCGGTGTTTTCCGAGAAAGGAGAATCTTCAGGCAAAAATGTTGTCATGCCTGCTGTGTTCAAGGCTCCAATTCGTCCTGATGTTGTGAATTTTGTGCACACAAACATGCGCAAGAACAGTCGCCAGCCATATGCAGTCAGTGAACTTGCAGGTGAGTTCATCTGTCAGTCTTAAACTGCCATGTTAATCTGTGTTTGTGTGTTATGTCCCCCCCCCCCCCCCCGGTTTTTAGAGCTGATGAAATGCATTGGGTTACTAGGCTTATGTTTGCAATTGCGGTATCTAATTGCCTGTGTCCATTCCAGGCCACCAGACCAGTGCTGAGTCCTGGGGTACAGGAAGAGCTGTGGCCCGTATCCCTCGTGTCAGAGGTGGTGGTACTCACCGTTCTGGCCAGGGTGCTTTTGGAAATGTATCCTTTTGACCACAATTGGGACTTTTTTTTCTTTAATAAAAAAAAGTCAAACACAAGTTTTGCAGTGATGGTGTAATTTGCGTCCGACTCTGACCAGTGACAGAATGCCTGCTGTCATATGCTGGTGCAGATGGCTGACGAACATTGAGTCTGAGCAGGTATTAAGTGCACTTGTTACTTGAGTAGTTGTCCAACCTCCTTGACTTTACTTTGCATAGATGTGTCGTGGTGGTCGAATGTTTGCCCCCACTAAAACCTGGCGCCGCTGGCATCACAGGATCAACACAACCCAGAAGCGCTATGCCATCTGTTCTGCCTTGGCTGCCTCTGCCATTCCTGCACTTGTGATGTCCAAGGGTAAGCTCTAATTAATTGTATTAGTATAGGACTACAACTGTAGCGCAACATTTTTAGGCTCATGGAAAGCCTTCAAAATTTTAAAGTGCAGAGTAAAATTTGACTTGCAGTGATGGTGTAATTTGCGTCTGACCTGGTGAACAGTGACAGTTGCCTGCTGTCTTTAAGCTGTCACAGGGTACTGATGTGTGTGAAATTCTGAGCAAGCGCTGGCAATACTGTGTAGTCTTTAAAAGTTGCAAGGAGTTTGTCTAGATATCTTTGGTTGACCTGATGATCTTATTCTCTCTTAGGACACCGCATTGAGGAAATCCCTGAGGTCCCACTGGT